AGTGGTTTAGCTTGCCAGTGCAGTGCTCCTACCATACAAGAAGCCTAGCTCCAAAACGTCACTTCTTCAGGACACATTCTCCATGACAAGCCTGGCCCCTGGCTTCAACTTAGGTCCTCAGTAAGGGAGGACTCTGCTCTGCATTCCTCTCCGTTTATCTCCATCACTTAGCACACTCTGTATTCATTTCTTTAACTTGGTGTGTGTGTGTGCCATGTGGTTGTTCGTGCCACACACCTGCAAGTGAAGGCCACCCTGCTCCTTTAAGACAGGGTCTCACTGAACCTTATGCCTGATGTTGGTCTAGCCCGGCAGGCCACCAAGTTCCCAGGATCTCTCTGTCTCTGTCCCAACACTGAAGCTATAGGCATATGTAGTTATAACAGACATTTTTCTTCTTTTCTTTTTCTTTCTTTTTTCTTTTTCTTTTTCTTTTTTTCTTTTTTTTTTTTTTGAGATAGGGTCTCACTGTGTAGCTCTGGCTGGCCTGGAACTCACTATGTAGATCAGGCTGGCCTTAAACCTATAGAGATCTGCCTGCTCTGCCTCCTAAGTGCTGAGATCATGTTTTGTTTTGTTTTAATGTGCGTGCTGGGAATTCAAACTCAGATCTTTATGTCTGCAGAACGAATATTCTCCCCTACCAACCCATATCCCCAGGCTGTTTTTTTTTTCTTTTTTTACAATGAAGTCTCATGTAGCCCAGGCTGGACTTGTACTGTATAGTTGAGATAACTGTCATAGTGTTACTATTGCTGTGATAAAAAAACCATGACCAGGCCGGGCGGTGGTGGCGCACGCCTTTAATCCCAGCACTCAGAAGGCAGAGCCAGGCAGATCTCTGTGAGTTCGAGGCCAGCCTGGGCTACAGAGTGAGATCCAGGAAAGGCGCAAAGCTACACAGAGAAACCCTGTCTCGAAAAACAAAACAAAAACAACAACAAAAAAAATGACCAAAAACAACTTGGTTTATTTGATGTCATGGTTCACTGAAGGAAGCCACAGCAGGAACTCAAAACAGACAAAACCCAGGCAAGAGCTGATGAAGAGGCCATACTGCTTACTGGGTTACTCCTCAGGGCTTTCTCAGCCTACTTTCTTATAGAACCCGGGGTTACTAGTTTAGGAATGGCACCACCCACCATGGGCTAGGCCCTCCCCCACCAATCGTTAATTAAGAAAATGCCCTACAGGCTTGCCTACAGTCCGATTTTATGCAGGCATTTTCTCAATTGACGTTTGTTTTTATCAGACGACTCTAGGTCAGTGGGTCCCAACCCTGCTAATGCTGCGACCCTTTAATACAGTTCCTCATGTTGTGGTGACCCCCGACCATGAAATTATTTTCTTTTTTGTTTTTTTCAAGACAGGGTTTCTTTGTGTAGCCTTGGAGCCTTTCCTGGAACTCTCTTTGTAGTCCAGGCTGGCCTCAAACTCAGAGATCTGCCTGCCTCTGTCTCCCGAGTGCTGGGATCAAAGGCGTGAGCCGCCACTGCCTGGCCCATAAAATTATTTTCATTGCTACTTCACACTGTAATTTTAGTACTGTTATGAATAGTAAATGTCTGTGTTTTCTGATGGTCTTAGGCAACTCCATAAAGGGGTTCTTTGACCCCAAAGGGGTCACGGCCCACAGGTTGAGAACCACTGCTCTAGCTTGTGCCGAGCTGACATAAAATTAGCCAGCACAATCACCTTCAGGGTAACTTTAAGATCTAAGTCAACCACCCAGTGCTGGGATCACAGGCATGTGCCCCCATACCTGCTTTATTTTTCTTTTCTTTTTGAGACAGCATCTCACAATGTAGCCCTGGCTGGCCTTGCACTCGCAGAGATATACCTGCCTCTGTCTCCCAAGTGCTGGGATTAAAGCTGTGTGGTATACCATGCCTGGCTTTTTTTTCTCTTTTCTTTCTTTTCTTTTTTTTTCTTTTTTTTTTTTTTTTGAGACAGGATCGCCCCTACCTGGGCTGGCTTTGAATTTCTTACCCTTCTGCCTCTGCCTCCTGAGTGCTGGGGTTACAGGCATTGGCTCCAATGCCCAGCCTGTATTGTGTATTTAACTGCTTACATTTGGGGACCTCCTCCTGGACAGTGTCTTCGCGGCTTATGCTTTGCATCAGGCACATGGAAATGCACAGTGTTTGTGGGACGACAGCGGTGCTGTCTCCTCCTGCCATCCCTTTCTCCTGGTTCCAGCCGGGCATGGTGGTTCACACCTGTCATCCCAAAGCTGGGGAGGCGAAAGCAGGAGCATCCTACAAGGTTGAGACCAGCCTGAGATACAAAATGAAACCGGGCCCTAAATCCCAACCCCCTACGATTAAACAAATAATAAACCCCACAGGACTGCTCCAGGGGGTCTCTACTCCTATGAATCCTTTCGATGGGTTTCAAAGAGCTTTTGGCATATTCCCATCCCTCATTCTCTTCAGGGGCATAGTGATTCGTTCATTCATTTACAAATATTTTGTTTTTGTTTTAAATTTTAAAGATTAAACAAAATTATTTAACATTGGACATGGCAGTGTACACATTTAGTCCCAGCACTGGAAGTTAAGATAGGCAGATCTCTGTGAGATGGAGGCCAACCTGATCTATATAGTGATTCCAGGCCAGCTGGGGCTATACAATGAGACCCTGTCTAAAGAAAAAAACAAAAAACAAAAAAAGCGTGGTGGTGGTGACATATGCCTTTAATTCCAGCATTTGGGAGGTGGAGGCAGACAGATCTCTGAGTTCAAGGCCAGTCTAGTCTATTGAGTGAGTTTAGGACAGCCAGGGCTACACAGAGAATCCCTGTCTCGAATAAGCTAGAAAAAAAAAAAAAACAAAATAAAATGTTTTTTAAAGTTTTTTAAATTAATTAATTAATTATTTTTTTATTTTTTGAGGCAGGTTTTCTCTGTGTAACTTTGGAGCCTGTCCTGGAACTCACATTGTAGACCAGGCTGGTTTCGAACTCACAGAGATCCATCTGGCTCTGCCTCCCAAGTGCTGGGATCAAAGGTGTGCACCGCCACCGTGTGGCTAAAGTTTTGTTGTATTGTTTTATTTCATGTATATGTGTGAGTGCATGATTGTTTGTTTACATACCACATAAATTCAGGTGTCTCTGGTGGCCAGAAGAAATCAATGGATTTATAACTGGAGTTACAGTTGTGTTGATCCTGGGAACCAAACCTGGGTCCTCTGGAAGAGCAGCAAGTGCTCATAATCACTGAGTCATCTTTCCATCTTCCATTATTATTATTATTATTATTATTATTATTATTATTATTATTATTAATTTATTTATTTTGCTTTTTTTTCTTTTTTAAATCGGGATCTATGAAGCCCTGGCTGGACTGGAACTTTGTAACCCGGGTTGTCCTGCCTCTGCTTCCCAAGTGCTGGCACTAAATGTGCGTGCTACCTGTGCATGTGTGTGCATGCAGTACCTGCAGAGGCCAGCAGAGGGCGTCACAGCCTCTGGAACTGGAGTAATGGACAGTTACGAGCTGCCATGTGGGTGCTAGGAATTGAACCAGGTCCTCTAGAAGAGCAGTCAGTACTCTTCACCACTGAGCCATCTCTCCAGCCTGTTTTTAAACGTTTTTTTAAAAAGTTTCTTATTACGTGTGTGTGTGTGTGTGTGTGTGTGTGTGTGTGTGTGTGTGTGTGTGTGTCCATGTATGATGGGGTGAGGCTCTCGTGCCACAGTGTGTGTTGGAGGTTTGAGGACATCTTTGTGGGTTCAGGTTTTCTCCTTGCACCTTTATGTGGATTCTGGGGATTGAACTCAGGTTCTTGGGTTTGCCTGGCAAGAGCTTTACCTTCGGAGCTATCTTACTCCCCTTTGGTTTTGGTTCTGTTTTTTTTGTTGTTGTTGTTTTTTGGGTTTTTTTTTGGTTTTTCGAGACAGGGTTTCTCTGTGTAGCTTTGCGCCTGTCCTGGAACTCACTTGGTAGCCCAGACTGGCCTCGAACTCACAGAGATCCGCCTGGCTCTGCCTCCCAAGTGCTGGGTGCATGCGCCACCACCGCCCGGCTTTGGTTCTGTTTTTTTTCAGACAGGGTCTTTCTCTGTAGTCCAGGCTCTTCTGGAATTCACCATGTAGTCTAGACTGGCCTTGAACTAGGGCAATCCTCAGCAACCTCCCAAGGGTTGAAATCCACGCGTGATTACTAAGTACCTACTGTGTCTCAGGCACCGTGGAACACAGTATTGTAGTAGGTCCCTAACATCAAAACTGTAATCCCACACAGAGTTGGGAGCCATGGTAACACCGTGGGACAGGATAGGGATTAGAGGGTGGAGGAAGGGGTCCATGAAGGTCAGAAACTTCCTTGGAAAAGGGACAGTGAGCCAGGCAGTGGCGCACGCCTTTAATCCCAGCCCTCGGGAGGCAGAGGCAGGCGGATCTCTGTGAGTTCGAGGCCAGCCTTGTCTCCAGAGTGAGTTCCAGGACAGGCACCAAAACTACACAGAGAAACCCTGTTTCAAACAAACAAACAAAAAAACACTGTCTCGGGGAAAAAAAAAAAAAAAAACAAAAGAAGAAGAAGAACAACAACAACAGCGAGGGTGAGACTCCTGCCTGTTTACCAAACTGTACTTCTCTTGTCTCCCTCCCTCCCTCCCTCCCGGATCCTTCCGTCTCTGCTCAGTCCTGCCTCCCTTCGGCATGCTCTTCACCCAGGCTCATTGCCTGCCCTGTCTTTCTGTTCTCCCCACAGCTTCCCCCAGCTCTGTCAGCTTCTACGCCCGCCCCGACTTCATGTGGTGATCCAGCTTCCCCGCCCCCCAACCCAACCCAGAGTCCTGCTTGGGTGACCTGCTGAAACCCAGGTCTGGGACTTAGAGCCATCTCCTAGGCTGCCACTGCCTTTGTCCCTGCTCGCCTCTCTCCTGGGCAAGTCACCCTGGGGCTTGGGGCTAGAGAGAATGACCTGCATCTGTCACTGACACGGATGCGGTAATATGTGCAGAAGGGGAACCGCTACAGAGGTGCTCACACGGACGGGCCAGACTTTATTGTGAGAACCGAGCACGTGGAAGAGGAAAATCGGTTCTCACAGGACTGCAATGAGAAGGGAAGAGAAGACAAGGATAAAAACCAGTGACTGGATCCTGGGAGAAAGCAGGCTGGGCTTCTTGGAGGAGCCTGTGATGCAGGAGAGCCCTCTCATTTTCGGGCACCCAGCGCCAGGGCAATGACGAGGCCCACGACCAACACGAACATGGCAACGGACAGCAACACTGTGATGACCACCATGCCTCCCGTCCGGGCCATTCCTAACCCGATAGACTCCATGTTCTTTCCTGTCAGAAGAAGAAAACCTTTGTGGGTTGGAGGGGCCCCTCGCCAGGGCTCACAGCTTAGCCTGGCCATCTAGCCAGCCAGCAGTTCAGCAACACTTAGGAGTCAGCAAGGAGATTGACTAGAACACCGTTCCTCCACACAGGGAGCCTTGAGTTCAGCAGATAGCGAACAGGAGGGGGCTATAGCAAACATTCATCAGGAGAGAGAGCTCTGAAAACAATTTAGTTAACTTGCTCTGGGGGATAAAGTCCGGAGCTCAAGGAGGTGTGTGGACACTTGAGATGAGGGAGAGGTAGGTATTTTACTTACGAGGAAGCGTGGACATCGGGGTTTCTGGACTGGACTCGGTGGATGTCCCCTTCTGTACTCGGTAGGAAATGCTTTAGAGGTGGGAGTTGGGAGAAAGCAGAGATCCCCAGTGCGTATCTGGCACTTGGGAGGAGAGGCTCCAGCCCCCACCTTCATAGTTCTGTCCCCCAGCTGTGCCCTCCTGGGGTGGAGGCCCACAGTCCATATCCTTCAGCTGTGTCCTCTCTTCCTCATGCTCACCAGCACCCCCCAGCTTCTCTCCGGGTCCCTCTCCCACGCGTGTCCACCCGGTACCTACTAGTATTTAGTGCCTGGTGTTAGGTCTGTCACCTGATAGGCGCTGAGCCGGGTGACGGTGAAGCCAGCCCCACTGTCCACCACGCTCACTAGCTCCCTGCGCCCGCGGCATGGAGGCACCACAAAGGCTGATTTAACCACTGGTGGGAAATAGGGGTGAAAGGCAGAGTCAGATTTCTAGCAGTCCCATGGAGAAGGGGCAGCTCTTGGGTATCGTAAGAGAGGTTACCAAGGAAGCATAAATAGGTACAGGGAAGCCGACCTTTGCTGTCGTTGGCTCTCCGGACCATCAGTGTGGCGTTCCCTCCCGTGAGGTGACATGGGGGCAAAGCAATTAGCAGGCTTTCTGTTAGCGCCGGAGACAGCAGACCTGAGAGGCTTGAGATGTTGAAGTCCGCTGTAAAGTCAGGAGGGAACGCAGCTGGAGTTAGCCTCACTCTCAACTCGGCTCTGGCCGGGGGTCATTGCGAAGGCGCAGAGTCAGGACGGGCCCGTGCGAATCTGACCACCAGATGGCAGGCGTGAGCTGCAGATGGGGGATACGCCGAGCTGCCTGGGAGACAGACTAGACTAACAGCCAGTCAGTTCCCGACCTCACCCCACCCACGCAAACCTGGAATCCTTCCCACGCTTCTCCTGGGCCAGGAAGAAGCCTAGGAATTTGTCACCCGGTCACTACCATCACTAGCCCTCAACCCCAGCCAGCTAGACCAACACCCTCTTCCAGAGCCCTGGAAGAGGCAATGTTCCCTCTCTAGAGTTCTAAAACCCTCCTCACTCCCACCAAAAATAGAGACCTGCAGCCCCCGGAGCCAGGACGGCCAGCAGAATCAGGAGCAAGGGCAAGGTCTGGACAGGCGACGCGGATGTCATACTGCTCTGGGAACTGGATCCTAGAACAGGCTGCGGCTTCCTGAGGCCAATGAGGCCCTGCCCCAGGGTGGCTGATTTTGTCTTGGGGTGGGTGGGAGGGGCTGCTGGGAATCCAGTCCAACTTGCCCCTTGAACACTGTAGCCTCAGGGAGGGCCCCCCAAACAGGTTTTTCAGGACCAGGAACAGGCCCTCAGGCCCAAAGGGGGATGCCCTGGCTGGGTCCTGGCAGTTTAGTTAGCCACAGGGGAGGATGACTCCTTCTTTGAGAACTCCCATGTCTGAAGCACAGGGTTCGTCTACGTGTGTCTGCAGCCTTGCATAGAGGCTGCTTCTCCCCAAGGAGGTAGGAGTCTTCCTAGGAGGGCCGTGAGTTCTGGAGTTGGCCTGCTCTGGAGGGAAAACCCCAGGGGTTGAAAGGGCTCCCGTTAGTAAGAATGGGAGAGAGGGAGGTTGGTTGCTTGGGGTGGGGACAGTAGAGTCCGAGTTTCTATTCCTGGTGTTGGCTGAGGCCCAAGACTCTGCAGCTCTGCGAGAAGCTGCCGGTGTCAGTGTGAACCTTCAGATTTCTCTAGAGGGTGGGGACAAGGAAGGCCAGAGAAGGCTTCCAGAGAGGTAGATGCTGGTTCGGTCCAGCAAGGATGTCGGGTTGGAGAGTAGACACAGACTTGGGCAGCAGACATTTGTTCAGCCGGTGGAGAATAAAGAAAAAAAACCTCAGGAAACAGGAGGCAGGAGCATCCTGAGTCCCAGGCCAGCCTGGGCTACCCAGTGAGCCCCTGTCTCAAAGCAAACCAAGCAGGGTGTACTGGGGCCTTCCAGGACTCGGAAGGCAGAGGCAGGAGGATCTCTGTGAGTTTGAGGCCAGCCTGCTCTACATAGTGAGTTCCAGGACAGTCAAGGATATGTTGAGAGACCCTGTCTCAAAAACAAACAAACAAACAAACAAGGCCAGGTGATGGTGGTGCAGACCTTTAATCCCAGCACTCAGGAGGCAGAGGCAGGTGGAGCTCTGTGAGCTAAGGCTAGCCTGGGCTACAGAGTGAGTTCCAGGACAGGCATGGCTACTCAGAGAAACCCTGTCTCAAAAAAAACCAAAACCAAAACATAATAAAAAGAATAACAACAAAACCCCTCAGGACAAGATAAGCCAGCGGCAACAAAGATGAGCAAGGGCTGGGGATGTAGCCCAATGGTCATGTGCATGAGGCTCTGGGTTTCAATCTCTGGTACCACAAGACCAACACTATTTCCTGGTGTCCCCCACCTCAGGCTAAATAAGAGAAGTAAAGGAAGTTTTCCAACCAGAGGCAGAGGAGAGTGACGTGGATTTAGACACCCCTGCTCTGAACGCTGGGCAGGGGCTCAGCATGCCCTCACGCTCTTGACCAACAGCCATCGTTAAGTGGCACTGCCTTTCATAGATATGGAACCTGAGACTAAGACAGGTGGTCACCGGTCAGAGGGGGGTGGGCTTTTTCAGACTGGAGAACTCTGCAGAGCCTGAGCTCAGTACCCTCAGTGTCTGCTCCAGGAACCACCCATTTTCCCCAGTCCCAGAGAAAGGGTCAGGGACCTAGTAGAGGAGTGGGGACCAGTTAAGGGCTGATAGGGTTGTCTTTCCCCCATGGTGGGTGGGCTTGAAGCCTGGGATGCGAGGGCGATAGAAGACAGAACCTGGGGGCCCAGGCAGAGAGCAGGAGGGGCTTGCACCAGAGTGTCTCCAAATTTACTGTGCAATGGACTGTCGGGGAATCGGTTCAAACGCAGCGACTGATTCAGTGGGTTGGGGGTAAAGCTTGAAACCACATTTCTTTGAAATTTTAAAATTACATTTATGATCTTGTGTATGTGTGTGCCCACGTGAGCCACAGAGTACATGTGGAGAGCAGAGGACAACTGTGTGAGTTGGTTCTCTCCTTTCACAATGTGGTTTCTCGGTATCAAAATTCTGATCATCAGGCTTGGTGGCAAGAGACTTCACCTGTTGAGCCGTGTTTCCTGAAACTGCATTTCCAAGGCGCTTACAGCTCTCTCTCTCTCTCTCTCTCTCTCTCTCTCTCTCTCTCTCACACACACACACACACACACACACACACACACACACACACCTCTAATGGAAAGCGGGACAGAGGTTTTTCTCACGCTGCCAGGACAGGCTGCCTTTGGGTGGAGAACTGATTTCTGCGTTTCCTGCTCCTTGGCTTTTGTCCCCTTTAGATGAGATCTTACCCTCACTCCACACACTGAAAGAAGATCCACACACAAAGGAGAACTTGACGTGGGGAAGAGGGCTAAATGGTGGGATGTCAGGGTCAGGGGATGGTCCTCAAAATCTCAACATAGCAGGGTGTTTACATATGGGCTTGGGAGCTATCTCCTCCCATTCGGGCTAAGGAGGAATCAGGAAGAGGGTGGGTTTACCGCAGAGCAGATTGTATCGGTCCATTCTTAATCCCCATTTGAAATTAGGAGTGAGACAAAGTGAGATAGGAAAGGGTATAGCTCTGGTCGCATTTTAAAGGGATATGAGGATCCTGTGCCTTTAAGCCCTCCCATCTCCCTCCAATCTCCCCCTCCACATTTCCCACCCTAACCCTCCCCAGGTTTCTGGAGGAGCAGAGTTGCGTCTTCTCCCTGCCCTGCCGAGCTGCTCACTGGCTGCTCTGGAGGCTGTGCTTTGCGGTCTCCATGGAAACCATTAGTTGCTAAGCAACTGGAGCATCATCTGTGCTGAGCTCTCGCATCTAATTATCCCATCACAGTGGCTGAGAAGGGTTTGGGGAGCTGAGAGGAGGGGGAGGCCCAGCGCAGGAGCAGGAGGATAACTCTTTCAGCAGAGCAGTCTCACTGACAGAGCGGAAATCATTTAAAGCCACAGCACCCCGTTCCCCTGGAGGAGTTCCTACTGGCCAAGTAAGGGAACCAGGGTCACACGTCTGGAGTCTCTCTCCTGAACCCTCTTCTCTGCTGTCCATTCTGTGATTCTTGAATCTAAACCCCCTCAAGTTCCCACTCCTTCCTCCTCCCAAATACCCTCCTAGAGCCAACAGGCAGTTGTTGAGTACCAGGTATGCCCCTGGGGTGAACTAGACAGTAAAGACATAAAAGTGAGATAGATTCTTGCCCTTGAATAGCTTCTCAATCCCCTCTTCTGCTCAATCAGCTCTTGAAACAGGTCTCCTCTTCCTGGACTAGAGTCCCTCTTTCCCCTTCTTGAGCTTCAGTGGCTCTGCAGCCTGAAGAATCACGATTAGAAACCAGGTCTGCCTGACATGTCCACAGCCCTGCTTCAGCTAGGCCACTTCTCTACCTCCCAGTCAATTAGAAAACATGCCTGCCTGTCTCCGGGGCATGCTAGACACTGATGATGGTGACTGCCATCCTCTTGGCTATGAGAGATGCCTTATAACTAGGTGAGTCACTTTGAACTTCATTTTATTTTTCAGCTTGAAAATGGGAAGGCTCCAGCTGGGTGCATGTCTCTAATCCCAGCACTCCAGAGGCAGAGGTAGGCAGATTTCATGAGTTCAAGGCCAGCCTGGTCTACAAAGCGAGTTCTAGGCTAGCCAGAGCTGTTACACAGAGAAACCCTGTCTTGAAAAACCAAAACCAGCTGGGCGGTGGTGGCGCACGCCTTTAATCCCAGCACTTGGGAGGCAGAGGCAGGCGGATCTCTGTGAGTTCAAGGCCAGCCTGGTCTACAGAGTGAGTTCCAGGACAGCCAAGACTACATAGAGAAACCCTGTCTCAGAGAGGAAAAAAAAAGATTTAGGGCAAAGATGCAGAAAGAGCACTGAGAGCAGTTATAACCTAGGCGAGCAGTGGAGACCCTGAGGCTTGAACCTGCAGGTCAGAAGTGGCGCTCCCCAAATGCTAGCTTGTTGGAAAGTTTGAGGACCATTTTTTGGAGATCTAAGGCAGGAAATTGCTGTGGCCATAAGGAAAACTCCATCATCCAGGTTCAGAAGAGGCCTGGATACTCTTTTTTTTTTTTTAAGGTCAACATAACCGTTTACCCCCACACCTTCCAGCTTTGTGACCTTGGTTAAGCTGTTGCTTCAAGTTCTGGTTTCCATTTCAAGTGGATTTATTTACTTTCTTTTATATATTATGAGTAGTGTTTTGAGATCAGAAGAGGGCATTGGATCCCTGGGAACTGGAATTATGCATGATTGTGAGCTGCCATGTAGGAGCTAGGAACTGAACCCAGGGCCTCTGTATGAGCAACAAGTGCTCTAAACTGCTAAGCAGTCTCTCCAGCCACCATAGATTCCACTTCTATAGAAACAGTAAAACCTGTCTCCTGGGAATATGGTGACTATCACTCCAACTGACTTATTTAAGAGTGCCTAGGACAGTGTCTGGTTGAATAAATACTGATGTAAGTAATCCATCTTATTGTCTCCTTTTTATTAGCCCTCATTTCAGATGAGGAATGAGGGTGCTGAGGTGATAAGTGACATCCCCAAGGTCACAGATCAAACAGGGCTGAAGAGGCCTAAATAACTCGGCATTTGCTCTTCCAGAGGTGTCGTTGGTACAGAGAGACACGCTAAGGTTGGAAAAGCTTGTCCAAGGGTTAGTGGCCACAGGGCACCAGGCATCCAGAACAGCTTGTCTGAT